GCACAAAACCGAGAATTTCAATCATTCGGCTACCTCCCGATCGACTATAGCGGACAGAAACGTCACTCGTGATGGGGTTGCCTTTGGAGTAAGCTGGTTTCAAATGGTCGACACTAGCAGTATCATCACGTCCGTTTCGCAGCTGGTGGGGTCAAAAAATCCTTCGTTTAACAGGCTTCCGCCTCTAAAATCCATGGATCACTAACTCTTGTGGCTGTTGACAGAAAATTAGAGCTTTCGTTGCATTCTCCACACCAAAAGCTCGATTATATAGAATTTCTGGTGCCGCCTGATCACTATCAGTGGTCTGTCGTAAGGCGATTTAAATGGCTGACAAACGGCATTGTGGCGCATGAAAACGTGTGACGTCTTTTTTAAAACGGGGCGAACGAAGACACCAGTTGTTTGAGGTCGAACAGCAGTAGGTACGAGTGAACGCATTGCGTTTGTAAGCCCAGTCAGGTAAGATGTTCGGTCGAAAACGTGTGTGAAAGTTGAAGGGGAAACAAATTCACTTGGTTGGTGAAGGGTAGTCCCACTGATGGGTTCCTCAGAGATGGATCTGGCATCAGCTCTCAATGCGCTACTGACACCCAGTAGGACCAGAGGCAGAGCCTCGACCCTTTGAGGCGTATTTGCGGCTGAAAGCGAATTTTTCAGTTGCCGGTGGAAACGTTCTGCCATGCCATTTGCTTGTGGATTGCAGGCTGTCGTTCGGAACCAAGTGTAACCCAAAATTGCAGTTAAAGCGTGAAACAATACGCACTCGAGTTGGCGCCCAAGGTCAGCTTTTATGAAAGATGGACATCCGAAGTTCGCAACCCATCTCTCGACGATCTTACATATTTTAGCGGCCAAGCACCACTGAGCCCACTCCTTAACGTCTTCGTTCATTCCCGGCCAGCAGAAACGTTGTTCAATAAGCCTGATGGTGGCTTGTACACCTGGATGGGACAGTTTGCGCAATGTAGTGAAAACGTTGCATCGACACCCCTTCGGGGCTATTGCGCGTGGCTGACTAGCAGAGACATGGCATAAAGTTGTATCCCTGCCTGATCCTACTAGACACAGTTGCAGCTTGAGAGTTGTGGACGACAACTCATGGTGCTACTCAAGATCTTCTTGTTGACTGCGAGACAGTTCAACGAGGACTATACCTTCGGTACGGCTAATCAAAGACGTTGGAGATATTGTCGGCTAGACGGTTATTTGCCCCAGATATATGGCGGATATCTGACGTGAAGAGGGAAATGCAACCCAGTTGTCCCGACTAACGCAGGAGGCACTTATCAGATCCTGAGCCAAGAAGAAAAGTCAACGGTTTATAGCCTGTGAAGGTGATGAAGTTAAAACCTTCCACGGAACGTCGAAAATGGCGTACAGAACAGTACATAGCTAGGAGTTCCCTACAAAATGTACTGTATCTTGTTTCCGCGTCTTGCAGCCGCCTCGAGAAAAAGGCTAACGGTTGCCACCGGTTGTCAGTCAATTGTTGCAAAACTGCTCCAATTGCTGAATCAGATGCATCAACAGCAATACTCAGAGGAGCATTGGGGTCATGATGCATAAGCATGGTTGCGGTAGAAATGGCTTCCTTGACTTTCGAGAAAGCAAGTCTAGCTACGTTGTCCAGAGACACGAACTTCGTAGTTCCTCGAAGCAGATCTGTTAGTGGTCTCATGACAGAGGCACAGTTAGGGATAAACCTTCGGTAATAACTTACCAGGCCATTGAAATTGCGGAGATGTTTCACAGTGGTCGGCTCTGGTTAGTTTGTGATAGCCGCCACTTTATCTCTCACTGGGCGTAAACCTTTGTTGTCAATGTTATGCTTAAGGGACCCGAGTGAATCAACTCCTATTTCACACTTTTGCAAGTTTACTGTGATGACATGTTTTTTAATATTTCGAATGCGAGGTCCAAATGTTTAAGGTGAGTTTCCCTATCTGGACTCTCAGTGAGGCAGTCATCGATGTAGACGTGGACCAAATCTAAACCGCGCAAGGTATTATCCACAAGGTGTTGGAGTGTTTGTGCTGCATTCCGAAGACCAGATGGCACGCATGGGGATCCAAATAAACAAAAAAGAGTAATAATGGCTGCTTTCGCGATATCCTCTGCTGCCATAGGTATATGGTTGTACTCCTTGACCAAATCGATTTTGGAGAAAATGTTCATCCCGCATAAGGTTGCAGTCAAATCGTAAACGTGAGGTATTGGGTAGCAGTCCGGAGTTGTTTTGGCGTTAGGCCTTCCGTAGTCACCGGCTGGACGCCGGTCGTTGCCATCCTTTTTGGGAACCACATGTAGTGGTGATGCCCAAGGACTGTCTGACGGTTTGATAATGCTCAGTTCCAGCATGTGGTCGACTTCACTTTTTGTCGTTTTGAGTCTATCGGGGGCTAGACGGCGCGCTTTGGATGCCACAGGGGACTTGTGGTCGCGACTTGATGCACGGAGGAGTATGCGTTGGTTGTTGTGACTCAGGATATTTCCCTAAGACTGCACGATCGAAAGCACCGCACGAGTGTTTAGTTCTGACGATGGCTAAGCGCGGACCCACGTAGGTGGTGCCGCCAGAAGGTAACTTCTTATTGTTGTCTATCGAAAGCCACCGATGAGTATCTACGATTAAATCGTAATGGTTCAACAAATCTATGCAAGTGATGGGCATGGAGACATCAGCTAGGAGGAAAATCCATTTGAAGGTTGAGAGATGAGTCATGAAGTTCCTTCGTCGTTTCGGGGAGAGCGCCCACTTCCTCTCTGGTGTCGATGATAAAGTGAACATTTATCTTTACGTCAGTGGGGTACGACGAACAGCTTTTTCATCCGGTTGCGTCTGCCGTTGACACGTGCCGGCCGTGCAGTCCCCCGAGTTTGTACCATTGCTCAAAATGTATGGTTTCCGACAACTTCTGGCCTCATTGCAACAGGTGATACGAAACCAGCGCCAGTCAGGGTCTTGCACCGTCAGGTTAAGTTTTCAGACAATAGCGCAAGTTGCTGCGAGGGGCTGAAACGTGTTTCTTTGTCGTGTTACGTAACCTTGGTCTTTGAGTTCGTAGCCGCTGTTTAATACAGTTTCATAAATCAATCACTTCTGAATCTTAGCTCTCAGGTTTTACGCAGCAATTTGTCTAGGCGATGACGATCTGCGAGACCGCTTTTCTTCAAGGGTGCGGCTATGAGAAGCCCACACGGATAACTTACTTCAGTACTAAATATATTCTGTGTAACGCGTCTGTTTAATTCCCACGGTAATAAACGTATGACAGCAAGAAATCAGGGACGTGCATCTACTGCTCTATATTCTTAAAAGTCTGCCTCGGCCAAGATCGCGCGAACTGAATAGTGTTCGTCATCTGTTTAATGTGGATAAGTTTCGGATAATGGTCGGTTATGGAATGAAGTTGTACATGGATATATAGTTGTTATCAAGTTGAAAACGTTGCACAAGTAAGAAAAACACCAGCTTGCCAATTCAAAAATTGTCTTTTTGCATACTTTGCAGGTCCAGAAGCCAACCACTAATTGCTGATAGTTGCTACATACCCACGAGTACAAGACCAAAGAAGAACACGACAGCACCGTCAGATGGATTTTCACCGGACTTGCCGGGCTGTATTTACACGGTCACGGATGCAGGCATTCGGCATGCTGTTCTGTTACGTCGCACTGCTCGTAATCGACTCCTTAGCAAGCCATTTGGAATGCATCGGTATTTTGGTACGACCTCAGAATTATACTATCCCGTCTGACCGCGCTATCGTGTTCTTCGTGGGTCTCGTATTTGTGGGTATGTAATGAGTATCAATTAACGGCGCTTGATCTCTGCACATGTCTAGTTTATACGAGAACGACTCCTAGGAACTCGTTCGGTTAGAACCATGACGGCTTTATTGACAAATGAACCGCCGTCGTGTTTTGGTCTTTGTGTTCACTTGTTCAGGCGTTCCTTACCCTACAATATCCTGCCTTCCGAAACTATTTTAATGGACGGCTTTTCTCGATTCTGCCATATGTTTGAAATGCGTATCCTAACAAGTTACTGCTCACATATCCATGTTTTAACAGGACAAATAATTGTTCATCAACAATGAACGGAATTTTACATTTGGGAATGTAGTACAGAATATACGTGAAATTCTGTCAAACTTAGGTTGATTATACTTATTTTTTCAATTAGGATATGTTCTTAGGGTGTTTTGAACTTCTACGCCTTTCCTGTACTAACTCTGATCCTCTTTTAATTGAAGAATAACCGAGCCACCTGATATATTAGACGCTCGGTGGATATTGAGGATACCGTTAGATCGGTTCTTCCATTTCTTCTATCGACTTACCTAACAGTCATCCGCCCATCGCTTGGTATTCGCCAGCGAAACGTAGACGGAGCCTTTAAGTTATGTGCCATCATCAAAGGAGGGCTAGTCTAGATGCAAACTTTCCACTTCTTGTAAGCGTTTGGGATTGCACTGGTGCCGTAGACCCGCATTTGACCCACGCTACTCACAAATTGAAAGAAGCTGGTAATGCTCCTAGTGGTTATCCTTGAAGTCTCAAGGATCCCTGTCTTTGGAGAGCCCTCGAAGGGCACGACCTTCAATCGAAATTTCTGGTACAACCATACAATTGATTTCAAAATAAATGTTCAAAATATCTCAAAATGATTAAAAAACCGGTTAAGGCATCCGTCAACTTTAAAAGAGTATGAATAATGGGTTCACTACTATGACCATTGGGCTAGGTTGCGTGGATGAAAGTACCACTGCATGTTGATATCAGACTCAAAATGTAAGGGGTTTCAGTGGAAAATAGTCAAGTTTTTTTTGTTCAAGCCGTGTGGAGAGATATACGTTGTATTGTCAACATATACAAAATTAAACAAACTAAGTGTTATAGATGGTCGACAGCATGGCCGAAAACTGGTCAAAATTAGGCAAATGTAAACAATCTTTTTCATCCTGGGAGTCGTGAACATTTAAAATAACCATGAACGCTTTTTGTATACGATATGATACACATGTATCCACACTAAGTCAAATTAAAACATATGTATCACGCTTTTTCAGGCTAGAAAGGTGTGCGACTAGGTCTGTGCCGTGTCATCTTTTGCTTCCGTCTCTCTCTCGCTCAATTGCCAATTTAAAACAACTGATATCCTAAGATCAACGCGCGGAATACACTTTAGACGTTACATCATGGATTTGACAGATACGTATGAAGAAAGTGACAAGTTGTCCATCATGCCACTGTAAGGACATCATTTTCTGTTCCGCTTCAATTAAAAATTATTTTTGGTGGTTTTTGATGAAGTGTGACGTATATGGGGCTACTGTTAATGGATTATTTTTCCCTAAGTAATACATCAAAATAGAATTTTACAACCTTTGACACCGTTGTTATTATTTCTGGTACAAAAAAACTGCATATATTGCTCAAGAATCTTGAATTTATTTCGACAAAGTATGTCCTGTTAAATGCTTGATCTGTTGTTCAGCAAGTGGTACCACGTTCTTATAATTTTTAGGGGTCTTTTTAGAATACCCGAGTTTAAAAGCTCATTTCTTTTACATACAATTTACCGTATGCTGTCCTTCATGTTTGTGCTATTCTATCTGTACTAAATGCTATCCATCTATGCGACCAGCGATTGCTTTTGTAGTTAAGATGGCTGTAAAGTATTTCAATTTCTAATGATGGCAGTGGGTTACGTTTTTCCTCCCAGTGTTTGTCTCTTTGACGATATAATGTTTCCAAAGATTGCTTGATTGAAGTTGCTCCTCCCATTTGTTGCAGTTACGAAGTCGTCCTTGATCTCTACGAAAAGGCCATCACTTCACGTGATTATTCAGTCATGGATTTCAGATTTTTTTTATGACCCCAAAGGTGATTGGTCTAGGAAAAAACAGAGAAAGTAGACAAACAAATACCCAAATCAGTGTTACAAATAAACTTGGCTCTTCTTTCCTGCGATACGAATGAAAAGTTTAGCATTACTAATCCCTTCTCATAAGGGAAGTGAAAAAATCATATCACTAGCTTATTGCGTACCTTTAGACCCGTTCTAATCCATAGCCTTCTTCTTTAAAGCATGGGCTGGCTTCCTAGGTGAAATACTTTAAATCAGGCCTTACTTAAATAGGATCTAGAATCTTAAAGTTATCTTCATCTAAGCGTTGCAATGTTTTACGAGGCAGTCAAAGCTGTATCTGCAAACGCATTACAGTTCGACTCTCAGAACCTTATAGACATCTGATTCTATTGCCGATGCAAACTATCCAAGCTAGTGATACACCAACCATAGTCTCCTAGAATCATGTTGCCAGTTTTAAATTGGTGTCTCCGACGTCCAAACCCCATGCTATATTGCACACCGTGCATGTCTTGCTGAAACTCTGGAATCTTGTTTGTTGGATGTGTGCTGTTTTTCTGAGACATATACAGAACTCAAGTGTCGTTATCCACCCAGCCACTGTTGTGGTTCTGTAAACTACTTTTTACGGGCATCTAGCTATTCAGCAGCTCTTTTGGACTTACTGGGGTAGGTGTAACATTCATTTCTGGAGCAAAAAGTGAACTTATAAACGATACTAGTTGGTTTCCGTCTGTTTGCCGTTCGACTGAATGAATCTGTAAAAGGTAAAATAACCATGACATTCCTCAATGCCTATTTGTACTCTTTGTCGACACTCCCACCGATAGCTGTTCAGATGATACTAAAGATGAATTCTATCAATAGCTGCCAGTTTTGCTACAAAACGTCCATATATGGTCACTGTAACAAGCACATTCAACGCTGAAGTAGAGTAGCTGAGCTAACTGTAAAGGCGTTTACGGGATCCCATGCCAACGAACCGGTAATAGTGATCGCCTCTAACAATTTCGTTCTGATAATCACTTGTTTTTAACCAGCACCAATTTTAAGCGTAAGGAGGAGCATTGTCTCACTTGCCTTCTGTCTAAATCAAACCGACGACGGACACATAGATCATGTTACTATAAACCTTGGTTGGAGAGGATCGGCGGATGATTGTCACGTTTTTCTGAAACATGTCTTTAATTTGATCATCTGTTAGTACGGGTGCATAGTTTCGTGCTGTACAGCTCTCAGTAGAAGGATAGCAGTGAAGTCTTTGCGTGTTCGTCTAGAGAATGAGGTATTCGAGTTTGCATTCAGGGAGGAGATAAGTATTTATCTGAACAAGACACTACTCCCATCCTAATTAAATGTGGCATAATTTTCGTTCTACTGTTGAATCAACCGTATACCTATTTGGTAACGTACACTCAAAAGTTGGAAAAAATCAGTGGATTTTCACAACCTCATCCGAACTGACTGATACAAGATAACGAACTCCAGCTGACTCTGACCTCGAAAAGAAGCGAAAGCAGCTGAAACGCGAATGAACTTAGAGTCTTTCCAGTGATCTCAAGTAGTGGTTGATGGTGAAACAGAGAAAAATGCTGAAAAGATCATCAAGTAATACTTAGCAATTATTTGGGCTTATTGAAGATGGTGTCAGGACAACCATGTTCAGTGAGACCATCACCAGGGACGACGTCTTCCTGATAACCTTGGGACAGGTGGCTGGAAAATTAGGCGGAACACTAAAGAATAGTTCAGCTGGCTCTCATCCACACTTTAGTTGCTCAACATCTGGTCCGATCCTGGTGGAACACATCAGTCACCCAACTGTTCTCAAAGTTCGATGGAGTTGTGGCTCATTGATTTAGAGAGTTAACGTCCAACCAGTGGGTTACGGGTCAAAACTCCGCCACCTGCCGAGGTTTGGGCTGTCAGGTACCGTCATTAGCCTTTACATGATTGGTGTGGCCCGTTGCCCTCTGCATGATTGTCCACAAGGTTATTGAGTAGATTTCGATTCCTCAAAGTTGAGAAACTTGTTTTCAACTTAAAAATCCGAAACAGCGGGACCTGATGGTAGGCTACTGAAAGCTCTTTAGCGTAGAGGTACAAAATTACTGAGTAGACTAGTGGGGATACTAAATAATATGTGCAGATCAAAGGTAGTCCTGAGAGACTGCAGACAGCTTGTCTTTTTAGGTGAGAACGCTGACAAAATGCAGGGCCTTCTAAACGCGTTGAGCAGAAATCTGATTATGTTTGGCATGGATTTTGTACCTTTCAAATGTAAGATGGTGCTTCAGGACCGGTGTTCAGGTGCTCGCAGTTTGGGGATAGAAGATTGTAGTAGAATACGTTGATCACTTCACTTACCTAAGTGTCTGATTAGCTCATTCCGGTTGGCCACCAACAAAATCTCAGCTAGGATGAAAAAGCCCTGTTTGATATTTGCCAACTTGCATCATCTTTTACACGTGAGATATTGAACTACCTGTTGAAAGACCGAGCATACTGCTGTGCATGCGGCTCTGTCCTGCTGCGCAGTTGTGAGAGATGGCTACTCTAAGTAAATATGAAGGATAATGACTAGTAAAAGAAATATTAGAATGTGAAGAACTCATTTTTCGAATGTTAATTTACTTTATTTCTGTCTCGAACGGCGCATGCAATCGCTAATCAAAATATTATGTAATGCGTGCCAGTCCGATTGAATCCTGAGACATGACTATTGAAGATGTATGACGTGAGAAAACTACAGGTTTTCACTTGTAGATGTTGTTCCGTCATTTCTAGCATATGTTCAAAGTAGAGTGAGCAATGTAAAAATCTGGCCTGATATAAAAAGAAAAATAGAGCTCGTGGAAGAGAGCAAACCTTCGTTTACTAAGGTAAGGTCTTTCCATGCATAAGCAGGCGGATCAGCGTAAAGCGAAAGACTGAAGTGCATCAGTTTGAGTTGTCACATTGCTCAGCACTATGCAGAGAAGTAACTAGAAAACGAATGATATTAAGATGAAACGAAGTGTATAAGAGGTGAAATAGATCAATAAAGGTTGAAAATGTGATAATGAGTGCATGCATCTGCACTGTTGTGAATGACTTTATATCTCATCACTGAAATAATCCAACTATTGATTCGCATCATTTTAAGTGTTTCATTCTTGTACCCTGCATCCCCTTTGTGGTTTAGGCGGAAAATGAGAGACTTCATCGACTTGTGTCGTGGCTCGGTTTATTGGCTATTACCTTTCATCACCCTATACCATGACAGTTAACATCTTCATGAGGCACCTAAAAATGAAAGTGGATTAGTATTGTGACTGCAGAGCTGAAGTAAACTGCGATCAGATTAAGAAGTGGCAACACTTCAAGTATAATCACTACCCTAGTGGGTTTGAGATACTTCGGCATTTCTAGTTAACTTTTCGAATCTTTCATCAACACTTTATAACCCAATTGGTTTTAATCACATTTCCTAGGGGTGCTGGCCAAGAAGTTGGGAGATCTTGTATACTGTTAACATTCAAAGGGAAAAAGATAATTGTAAGGCTTATTTTCCTAGATTAATAAATATGTTTTTAGCTGGACTGTGGTATTCATCCTGGTTTGCGCAATAGGGAAAGTCTACCGTTCATAGATGCAATTCCAGATATCCAAACAACTGATCTCATTCTAATCAGCCAGTAAGTGACACATTAACGTCACAAAACTGTATAGCTTTCATCTTGACCACTGTGGTGGGCTTCCGCACTTACTTCTTAAGACTGGAGCGAAATCAAAATGCTATATGACACATGCAACAAAGGCCATTTATCGTTATCTACTTGCTGACTTCGTTCGTGTTAGGTAGGTTTTTGCAATACATGAACAATATTTATTTAACTAGTAATTCTTCAGGTCTACCGGATCAATCACTTTACACTGATCGAGATATTGTGGCTAGTTTGGACCACATAGACACCATAGATTTTCATCAAGAACTTGAAGTTAATGGGATCAAGTTTTGTGCTTATCATGCTGGGCATGTACTAGGTGCAGCCATGTTTCTAATAGAAATTGCCGGTGTAAAGGTTTGTCCGCCATTTTTGTCAAATTTCACAAATTTTATTTAGATTTTGTACACTGGAGATTTCAGTAGGCAGGAAGATAGACATTTAATGTGTGCTGAGATTCCTCCAGTTCGACCGGACGTTCTTATAACTGAAGCTACCTATGGTATTCACATACACGACAAGCGTGAAGAACGAGAAGCCAGGTTTACTAGTCTCGTTCATGATATTGTCACTCGTGGTGGACGTTGCTTGATTCCGGCATTTGCACTTGGTAGAGCTCAGGAATTGATGTTAATTCTTGATGAGTACTGGGAAAGCCATCCAGAACTACATGACATACCGATTTACTATGCTAGTCAATTAGCTCGAAAATGTATGGCAGTTTATCAGACATATATTTATGCGATGAATGAAAGAATCCGCAACCAACTTGCTAATAACAATCCATTTTGTTTCCGACATATATCCAATTTGAAGGTAAATACGTAGCGTGTAGAACGTTTACATGGTTTTTATTTTAGAGTATTGAGCATTTTGATGATTCTGGCCCGTGTGTGGTTATGGCCAGTCCGGGAATGATGCAATCTGGTCTAAGTCGGGAGTTATTTGAAAATTGGTGCACAGACAAACGTAATGGTGTAATTATTGCCGGATATTGTGTTGAGGGTACTCTGGCTAAGCAAATTTTGTCTCTACCGGCTGAAGTACCAACAATGTCGGGTCAGACATTACCACTAAAATGTTCTGTGGACTATATCAGTTTCTCAGCTCATACTGATTATCAACAAACTAGTGCATTTATCAGGGAGCTGAAACCAAATTATGTTGTAAGTCACGTTTTGTTTACCAAAGTAATTTTTCATGTTCTGTACTACTCATCTCTTAAATTTAGCAAATTTCATCCACAATCATCGAACATACTTCTGATACCTTCTGTTTATTAAAACATATATTTCTATGTTTGGTGATCCTCTTTATTGCATCCTTTAGCAACCCCTTTACTTCAAAATTTGACTCATTGGTCAATCAACAGGGATTGTATTTAGTGCATTATGAATTTGAACCCGTTTCGCATAATTCATTTTTCGTAGCTAGCTGGTGTTTTCAGTAGTTCGCTCGGCAGTTATGACTCAATTCTGAACAGGTTTCATGTTTCCCCATATAGTTTCTTTTGTTACTGATTATATGTTGAGATGGATTTTCAACGTGGATTTATCGATCATTATTATTTCACCCTTGGGTTCCTTGTAAAACATAGGGCTTCAGTAGTACGTCACCATTGCACTCTCTTCTCTGCAGTCTTTTTAGTCTGAATCCACAACTGCCCATAAGCTTTCATTCCTTTCTCACACGATCTCTTCCATACCACCCTGGGACGCTCAACTTCTCCTTTCTCATTTCGGTTCCACTCGAGGGCCTGGGCTGGCCTGGCGCGTCATATCCCCGAACAGTCTTCTTAGTGTATGTTCAATCCAATCCATCTCCACTTTCTTCTGCATATTTGTTGGGCGATGGGTTCTTGGTTGGTTCGTTGCTAGCCAGAGTTCCTTGTTGTTTGTTCTTATTATTCTGGCCTTCTGATCTGATCTTCGCATTTAGTGAGCGTAAGTGACAGCTGTTGATGAATGTCTGTAGTTTGTTGGAAATGTTTTTCGTAACACGCCAACTCTCTCAACCATCACATAGAAGCACTGACTTGACTGACTTAGTGTTGGGAATCCGGATCTTTTTCACGCTTTATGCTGAGTGAAGTGCAGTACATCTCCACACTGATTTCAGATTAATGAGGGCCTGTCTTGCAGTCTTTCTGAACCTGGCTTTGACATTCTGATCTGTGCCGCTGCTGCCTGTAGTTGAAACGATGCTGCTGAGGCAGAGGTAGGTGAAAGAGATTACTTCCTTTAGGTTTCTTCCGTTAATGGTGATTGGTGCTTGTTGTTGATGCTGTTGTTGGTTTGGTATCTTCATCACCTCCGTCTCCTCTACATTCACTTGAAGTCCCGTTTTCGCTGCCTCGCCTCTTCTGTCAACTTGTTAGTTTTCACCTGCAGATCGTCGAGTTTGTGCGACAGTAGACATGAATCATTATCAGCGGCAAAATCCAAATCTTCTAGGATCTTTTCCCCGGTCCAGCGTACCCCCTCTTCTCGCTCCCCACAGTTGTCTGCTGCATGATCCAGTCGACCATAATCAGGAATATCATGGGTGATAGTAGGCAACCTTGTTTCACTCCTGTCTTCACTTCAAAGGCATCATCAATGAGCTTCCCATCGTGGATCACTTGGCATGTGGCGTTTTCATATAGCTGGTGAATGAGGTCGATAAGGGTTTGTGACACTAAAACCGTAGTGTTGAGGCAGCTGCCTGCTAAATTACTTCTCGACTGACGCTGTCGAAGGCCTTCACGAAATCGATGAAGTTGAGGTAGGGAGTTGACTGCCATTCTATGCTGTGTTCTATGATGATGCGTGGTGATGCAATTTGATTCGCACATAATTTGTTCTTCCCGAAGCTAGCCAGACAGCCGGCTTTTTCCGGTCGTAATTTTGAATCCAATCCATCTTTTAGTCTCTCCAGGATGATACGGCATGTTATTTTGCTTGCTTGGGTTGGACAGGAGCATGGTTCCGTGCCAGTTCTTGCAAAGGCTTAGATCTCCGTTCTTTCGGAGTTTGACAAATAGCCCTTCTTCCAATCAATGTGCAGATACCTTTCCTTCCTTCCTCCCTTCCTTCCACACTTTCTGCAGTAGTGGTGTGAGCATGTCTGTTGTTGTCTCTGCGTCTTTTTTCAGTGCTTCTGCCGGTATTCCATGTGGTCCTGCTACTTTCTCGCATTCCAATAGCTTCATGGTGTTCAGGACTTCTGTTTTTGTCGGTGGGCCTATGTTCACTGGTAGTTCTGTGGCTGCTGGTGGCATCTTTGTACGCGTTTCAGGTGGCTGTGGTGGTCGAATCAAGAGTTTTTTGAAGTGGTCAGCCCATTGTTTGCTTTGTTTCTCCTCTTTGCCAACTAACTTTCCTTCACTATCATCTTTCATTGGTTTCATGTGTGTTGATCTCTTACCTGGTTATTTGATATAATGTTGTCAGGTCTCTATCTCTGTAACCGGTAGGCTGTTGTGCTTCACTTGCCAGTGTTTCGTAGAAGTGTCTTTTGTCTTTGCGTGCACTCTTCTTCACTTCTTTGTCCAGTGCAGTATTTTATACGTTGTACTCAGTTCCTCTTTTTGGTTGTGCATCCTTGGACTGCACTGGTTCTTTTTCTGCTTCGCCATCACCATCTTCCTCTCCCTCCTCCATCAGATTCCACATGTCAGTCGAGATCCATTCCTTGTCTGATTTCTCCTTTTTCCTTCCTAACACGGTTATACAGGTTTTGATTTTGAAGGTAGGTTCCTTGCACACTAGATAGTGAGTGGTGGGAACCACCTACATCTGCTCCTCTTCTTGATCTGATCTTGTGTCCATTAGGCTGTCTCCACTTTCTTGAGATTGAGATGAATTCGATCTGAGTTTTAGTGTGTCCATCTGGTGAAATCGAATCCATCTCGTTTTGTGAATATTCTTGTGTTTGTACACACTGCCTCGCCTCTAATCACCACATCGTTGAATGTGCAGAAATCTGCAAACAGTTCTCCATTCTCATTTATTTCACCGAGTGCTTCTCGACCGGTGATGAGTTCTCTTCGTATGTTGTCTGCTCCCGGTTTGGCATTCATGTCACCCCACCCATTAGAGTTTTGATGTCGCCAACTGGAGTGGGATCTTGTCCATTACTGGTTGCTGTTTTCTGTGGAATTCCTCCTGCTTCTCTTCATTTGCATTATTTATCGGTGCGTGGCGTAGCATTGTATGATTGTGACTTTCCTTCCTTTTGAGTTGAACCTTGCTGTTATGATCGTGTAGGAGACTGGTTCCTACTGCATGAGTGCCTACGATGCTGTTGGGGATATCATGGTAGCCACTATAAAACTCAGTGTGCTCGTGGTTGTCGTCTGGGCGACAATGTCGGAGTAGATTATTGACTCTCTGGTTGACAGTTTAGAGAATCCACTTCCATCCCACCTACTTTCGCAGATTCCTAGTACATCTGTCTTACATCTTCTTATCTCTTTTGCTATCTGGTCAGTCTTGTTAGCTTCAAACATTGTGCGGACATTCCGTGTTTACTTTTGCTTTCATCGAGAGATAGAGAAGACACGTTGGCCAATTGGCTTCCCGAAAGCTTTCGCCGACCGGCTTCATTTCGTCTCCCGGGTTGCGGCGGAGAGTAATTTTACTTTTTATATTTCCTCTGTGCTTTGAAGTTTCTTTATCGATTGGATTAGTTTTGCCGGGTTAGGGTCACTAGCTCGACCCCCAACCTTCCTTCTTTATCCGGGCTTAGGACCGGCTATGAAAGCACCTTAACCAGTAGTCAGACATCTAGTACGTAATTTTGTGGTAGATAAGATTCATTATGTTATTTCACTCTAGTGTTACATTCTTGATTGTCATCGTTTTAGTCTGCACGGACAATAACCAGTGTAAATGTACCTATATGTGCAACGATCTTCATTGTATCGATTGCATACTCTGTAAAGCCTCTATCGATTAATGTTAGTGCAATTAACCACAATGCAAAGGTGTGGGTCATAATACGCTTGTAAAAATTGAATTTATCCGTACTTTGATTCTGTGCTTAAGTAGAAGTAGTTAAGAAGAAGCTTATAAAATGACATTAGAAGTCTATCTAATTGAACTGCCTAAAGAAAAGGAGATAACATGATGTATCATGTTTTTCTAAGTTTAAAACTCCCACCACCTCAATATTTAATATACGAAAAATGTGCCGCCAGTATGAACCAAAAATTGGTTCAGGATACAGTGTGCCATAATTAGGGTATTTACTATAAATGCCTTTTTAAACAAACACAAACAATACAACCAGACAAACTTGGAAGATACACCTTGCTGGATGCTTCAACAAGCACAAAACCTACGTTCAAGGCTTTCTGCCGAATGTCCCCCAAGATCTAAAGCCAAAATAAAGTGCACCTATTGTTATGTCGCTTGGTAGTCAAATTACAACGTTTTAACGTTGCTTGAAATCTTTGATAGGCGTCGCAACGCATTCAGTTTTCCTGTTGCCCCAAATATCATTATGTCTTACTTAATTGCCTCTCCCTTCCCGATATCTCTTTTCTGTTTCTGTGTTTGCGCTCATTTTGATATGCTGTTTTGTGATTTGGCAACATAAACCAACCAGCCGTTGTACTGAGTTTTGCTTATTTTGTGTTTGTTTCATAAACACAATTCATATATTTGTCAGTGAAATCACTTCAATATATTGAAACGTTTGCATGATACATTTACCTTTCAGGTATTGGTACACGGTGAACAGAATGAAATGTCAAGGTTATGTGGTGCATTACAACGGGAGTATGAAGATGATGAAACTTGTAGATTAGAGATATTTACACCTAAAAATTGTGTTCCAGTTAACTTACGATTCCGTGGTGAAAAGATTGCCAAAATTTTAGGCAGTCTTGCTCATAGTGCTCCCAAAGAAGGTCAAACTATTTCAGGGGTTCTTGTGAAGAAAAATTTCGCCTACCATATTTTAACACCTGGAGAACTGCCCAGTGAGTAGTTTTCTGTCACACCTGTGATAATACTTACTCATTTTTCGGCTTATATGTTTTTACGGGGAGTTATACATACTTCACAGTACATACTGTTTAAGGTTATTTTTTTCAAAAGCGTGCTAAAACTTGCCAGTAATGCTTTAACTGAAAATGCCGTTCGTTATTAGGTATATGTAAGCGATTTACACAACGATGATACACCTTGTTTTTTACAGTAAAACTAACAGGTTGTTTTTGTTCCTTATTTCCTGATAATACGTAAAAATTGAAGTCAGATGCTATCTAATTCTCTCTGAAACTGGAAATCAGGTACCGGCTGATAACAACCATAGGTCACGTAATTATGCATTTCATGTCGGTATTCATCACAGACTGACAGCAGTTAGAGAACCATTGAAAACCTGAGAGCACTGGATACTGGTTTCGTCCCAGTGTGAGACTCCTCAGCACTGCTCACCCACCATCTTGCCAGTGACTGAACCCAAGCAGAACCTTCAGGTTTCGTAGCGAGCACGTTGCCGTTGAGCCTCTGGGTCGGATTCCAACGGCTCATATTTTCCTACTTCTGTCAATATGCGACCTTCATCCAATGCCATCGTTGAGTATTCTTCCTCAAGTCCGACTTGATTTACTCCACTGGTCACACCTCATTAAGACTTGAAAAAAAACTCACATCGAAGCATGTCAATAATGACCACTAGACCATTGTTCAGTCTGAGAGGTCAAAATTGCGCACTGCTGAGAAATCCCTTACTAGGATCAAGGATTAAAGTATCATAAAATAATCAGGTTCCTAATGCTTGCTACCACACTAAGATCAGGTGTACTTGTGATGCTTTCACACAAACGTTACAATGGTCGATCCTTGTTGTGTTATAAACCCTGTCTGGAAGGTCTACGATTCCCTACAGAACCCTGACCAGTATTCAGAAACTTAGTTCGTAATTTTAAATCTCTAACTGCCGATCCTGAAAATTCCTAACAATAATAATTATCATTTTGTTCCAAACAATTTTTGGTACAATTTAGAACTTTCAGCATGTAATGCTGCAATAAAAATATGTATACTCCTTCATAAAGTTTCGAATAGTATAAATATAACAATCTAAATTATGTAAATAATATTAATAATGAGGAAATGTTTACATTGTTTGTTAAAATACCAAAAAGACTGGTTATTTGTTGTTGCAAAGTTTGTAAGTTAGTTCTATTCCTACCCTTTTTTCCGCACAGAAGATATGTGCTAGATAAGTCATAGTTGAGTTCTTGTATTTAGCTGTACGCGCGTACCGTCTTGTATAATTTCTTCTTGTTCTGGTTGATGAGATACCAGGCGGAAGCTGGGAATAAGGTGCATGCTCAGTGTTAGTTAACATTATGTAGCTAGCTGCCTGCTGGAATTTAAATTTCTGTCGACTACAGCGTTAATCAGTTGTCCAAATGCACAGAACTTACCCTTTTGACAGCTTTCGAAACCCTATGCAAAATAACATAGTCGTATTTAATAGACCAGAAAAGATCAACGGGGAAGAATGGTGAAGAATAGTTAAAATGTAGGAATTAAGAAGTTGTAAAAGCAGAGACTGTTATACCAGTCTCAGTGTTTTTATTTAATAAGTTAACGAAAGATTTTCTTGCAAGTCAACAAAATATGAGATGACTAACAAACGTCCGAAGCAAAATTCAATCCAAGATAGATAACACTTGATTTACTTTCTACAGCAATACCAGCAATAAAATAGGAGTCATGAAACCTAAAAAGCTCACCAAGTCTTGTTTACACCTGAGGCTAAAATTAACTGTCTGACATTTAGAAGGGTTTAGCTTAAGGCCATTTTAGAAAGACTACTGGTGAATTTCAGACAGGAAATTGCTTAATTGAGAGCAATCTAAGTGATAGTTAACTGGCACAAAAACCGTCGGGTCATAAGCATACTTAATAAAATTGGTTTCAGCAGAATAAGGTACGTCATGCAAAAAGAAAGAAAACAGAAACGGATGAAGCACTACACCTTAAGGCACCCCGGTTTCAGTAAGCAATGGAATGGAGCTCTTCATTTTATAAACAGCATGCTGTTCACTTCCAGAAAAATAAGAATACGGCCACTTTGTAACATGTAGCTCAGTATGAGCAATTGAAAGCTTATTTAACTGGAATGGTCTGAGAACAGAGCCAAAGACCGATGTGCAATCTAAGGAGGCATAGCGAACATACTTAGCATCTTTGTCTAGACTAGGAACAATATTATGATGCATGTCAGTAGCGGCATCTAAAGTACTTCTCCTCTGTTTGTAAGAAAATTGTTTCACGTCTGTGAAAGACTCCAATGAAAGAAAGTTCAAGAGCAAGCAAAAGTAATTCCTCCATTGTCTTTAAAAAAGACAATTTTCTAAAAGGTAAGTCTTACTCTAGCTGCTCTACTTCATGAATATGAGCGTTGAATCCATATGTGTAGTATATCCCACAGAAATTTCAGTAAACCTAAGTCTGAAATCCCATCATTTGATTATTCCTCTCACTAACCATATATACTTAACATCGATTTCACTTTAGTGATTATACCTCTTGAGTGATACTTTGAAGATATTGACAATTTTGCCTGAAACAAGTGTTGTGTGACATGTGGTAGAACGGAGCGTAGTACATATGTTTTTTCATCCAGACGTAGAAAATGTCTATGGGATGGTAATTACAATTTTTCCACTTACAACTCAAATATTTTATCACCGTAAATTTAATATAGGAAATATTGAAACTGACAAAATTCTACAAACATTGAAAACTTTATTACCATCTTGTTTACTGTCTAATGATTCATTCTAAAGAAAATCAGTGACGTCATTAATTGAGACCCCAGTAGTTTTTTACTAAATGTGATACACAGCAAGATACTTCTCAACATCACTAATACACCTTATTGATTATCAACCTTCATACAAAATAGACTGTATTTTGTTGGTTTCTTCAAAAGCTTTGGTTTATATTGAGGAACAGAAGTTTCCACAATGATTATTAGGATTTTTTTCATGACCTATACACAACATATTAGATCTCTTCTCATCTTATCTGTTCACATTTTCCTACTTCTAGCATACACTGAACTAGCTACGACTGTAGTGAATCAAGTCATTTCTATTCCATTTACTGGTAGTGCCAGTCTCCTAAAATTTCACTTGGCTTTACTTGCGGGTACGGTGGAGGTTACATCACACAAATCTGATAATGTACAATACCGTGTATTTGATACAATCAATATTACTTGGCGGCCACAACAAATCACTATGGAAGTAAGCTTATTTTAGTGTTCATGTAGTTGTGAAGTAAAGGAACATCGTTCCTCTTTTCTCAACTTCTCCATTTTTACAAAACGTTTTTAAATAACTTCATGGATTATTATTATTTTTTTCTCTTGGGTTCCTAATGGAACATAAGGCTTCAGTAGCACGCCTTCATTACACTCTGTTCTCTGCAGTCTTTTGAACCTCACTCCACGATTGCCCACAAGTTTTCATTTCTTCCTCATATCATCTCCTCCATGTCACTCTCGCCTCGACGCCCAACTCGTCGTTTCCCATTTGGATTCCACTTGAGGGCCTGGCGCGTGATTTCCCCAATCGGCCTCCTCTTTGTATACCCAATCCGTCTCTACTTCCTTCTGCATATTTGTTGAGTGATGGGTTCTTTGTTGGTTCGTTGCCAGCCATCCAGCCAGAGTTCCTTGTTGCTTATTCTCATTATTCTGGCCATCTGGTCTTCAGTATGGAGTGAACGTAGGCAGTTGTTGATGAATGTCTGTAGTTTGTTGGAAGTGCTTTTCGTGACGCCCCAAGTTTCTGAACCATATGGCAGCACTGACTTGACATTGGTGTTCTTTGTGCTGAGTGCAGTAGATCTCCCCACTGATTTCAAATTATTGAAAGCCTGTCTTGCTTTTCCGATCCTAGTTTTGACATCCTCGTCTGTGTCTGTCCCACCTGTAGTTGAAACTATGCTGCCTAGTTAGGTGAAAGAGATAACTTCCTTTAGGTTTCTTCCGTTAATGGTGATTGGTGCTTGTTGTTGATGCTGTTGTTGGTTTGGTATCTTCATCACCTCTGTCTTCTCTACATTCACTTGAAGTCCCGTCTTCCTTCGCTGCCTCCTCTGTCAACTTGTTAGTTTTTGCCTGTACATCTTCGAGTTTGTGCGACAAGACATTGGACATGAATCATCATCGGTGACGAAATCCAAATCGTCTCCTGGGTTCTTTTCATCGGTCTAGCCAGCGTATGTCCATCTTCTCGCTCTTCACAATTTGCTGCATGATCCAGTCGACCACAATCAGTGGGATCATCGGTGATATTATAGGGAGGCTTGTCTTACTCCTGTCTTCACTTCACCTCAAAGACGTCACTGAGCTCTCCATTGTGAATCACTCGGCATGTAGCATCATATAGCATATAGCTGTTGAATGGGGTTGATAAATGTTTGTGACAATAAAACCGTAGTGTTGAAGAAGCTGTCTGCCAAATTACTTCTCGACCGACGCTGTCGAAGGCCTTTCCAAGTCGATAAAGTTGAGGGAGAGAGTTGACTGCCATTCTATGCTGTGTTCTATGATGATGCGTGGTGATGCAATTTGATCCGCACTTGATTTGTTCTTCCTGAACCCAGGCAGTCAGCCAGTTCCAGTCGTAGTTTTGAATCCAGCACATCCTTCGGTCTCTCCAGGATGATGCGGCATAATATTTTGCTTGCTTGGGTTGGACAGGAGCATGGTTCCGTGCCAGTTCTTGCAAAGGCTTAGATCTCCGTTCTTTCGGAGTCTGACAAATAGCCCTTCTTCCAATCAATGTGCAGGTACCTTTCCTTCCTTCCTCCCTTCCTTCCACACTTTCTGCAGTAGTGGTGTGAGCATGTCTGTTGTTGTCTCTGCGTCTTTTTTCAGTGCTTCTGCCGGTATTCCATGTGGTCCTGCTACTTTCCCGCATTTCAATAGCTTCATGGTGTTCAGGACTTCTGTTTTTGTCGGTGGGCCTATGTTCACTGGTAGTTCTGTGGCTGCTGGTGGCATCTTTGTACGCGTTTCAGGTGGCTGTGGTGGTCGAATCAAGAGTTTTTTGAAGTGGTCAGCCCATTGTTTGCTTTGTTTCTCCTCTTTGCCAACTAACTTTCCTTCACTATCATCTTTCATTGGTTTCATGTGTGTTGATCTCTTACCTGGTTATTTGATATAATGTTGTCAGGTCTCTATCTCTGTAACCGGTAGGCTGTTGTGCTTCACTTGCCAGTGTGTCGTAGAAGTGTCTTTTGTCTTTGCGCGCACTCTTCTTCACTTTTTTGTCCAGTGCAGTGTTTTATACGTTGTACTCAGTTCCTCTTTTGGTTGTGCATCCTTGGACTGCACTGGTTCTTTTTCTGCTTCGCCATCACCATCTTCCTCTCCCTCCTCCATCAGATTCCACATGTCAGTCGAGATCCATTCCTTGTCTGATTTCTCCTTTTTCCTTCCTAACACGGTTATACAGGTTTTGATTTTGAAGGTAGGTTCCTTGCACACTAGATAGTGAGTGGTGGGAACCACCTACATCTGCTCCTCCTCTTGATCTGATCTTGTGTCCATTAGGCTGTCTCCACTTTCTTGAGATTGAGATGAATTCGATCTGAGTTTTAGTGTGTCCATCTGGTGAAATCGAATCCATCTCGTTTTGTGAATATTCTTGTGTTTGTACACACTGCCTCGCCTCTAATCACCACATCGTTGAATGTGCAGAAATCTGCAAACAGTTCTCCATTCTCATTTATTTCACCGAGTGCTTCTCGACCGGTGATGAGTTCTCTTCGTATGTTGTCTGCTCCCGGTTTGGCATTCATGTCACCCCACCCATTAGAGTTTTGATGTCGCCAACTGGAGTGGGATCTTGTCCATTACTGGTTGCTGTTTTCTGTGGAATTCCTCCTGCTTCTTTTCATTTGCATTATTTATCGGTGCGTGGCGTAGCATTGTATGATTGTGACTTTCCTTCCTTTTGAGTTGAACCTTGCTGTTATGATCGTGTAGGAGACTGGTTCCTACTGCATGAGTGCCTACGATGCTGTTGGGGATATCATGGTAGCCACTCCAAAACTCAGTGTGCTTGTGGTTGTCGTCTGGGCGACAATGTCGGAGTAGATTATTGACTCTCTGGTTGACAGTTTGGAGAATCCACTTCCATTCCATCTACTTTCGCAGATTCCTAGTGCTTCCATTCTATGCAATCTGAGCAGCCTTGTTAGCTTCAAACATAGTGCGGACATTCCATGTTCCCATGTTTACTTTTGCTTTCATCGAGAGATAAAGAAGACACCTTTCAATTGGCTTCTCGAAGTCTTTCACCAACTGGCTTCATTTCGTCTCCCCGATTCCAGCGAGGGATAAGTTTGTTTTTATTTTTTATGATTTCTTTATGCCTTAAGGTTTCTTTAGCGATTGGATTAGTTTTGCCGGGTTAGGTTTATTAGTCGTGTGCCCAACCTTCCCCCCTTTTCCGGCCTTAGTGCCGGCTAGTAACTAGTGAGTTAGTTAACCAGGTGATGTTAAACATTATGATGCATATCCATCATTTGAACGGATACTTTTACAATGGTTTGCAGGAGGGAACAGAATACACATCTATGCTTTTTAAAACTAGGATGTTAAACAGTCTCATCCTTTGGCGCAACCACACGGGTTCCTTCACCCCCAGTGGACCGACTTTCATGGAGAATCGCCAAATCGAGGAAGTGCTGAACCACTGTTTTGTACAATTTTTTGATACCTCTTCATCTGATATAGTATTCCTAGGCATAGCGATAAGTATCATTTAACCGTACCTGAAATATAGTGAACGAAACTGGAAGACCGGGACGAAGAAAGGAATGTTTATTATTTGCATATGGTACAGTAGTCGTCAAATATGGTACACCTTGCACTTCGAAAGTCATTTGCAAAATGTGCTTCACTTCATCTTCTACTTCTCTCTTGATTTGCTTTTCATACGCCCACGTTGTCTTTTGCGTTTCTCTGGGCAAAATCCTTAGCCATTGCTGGTAATGCCGTATGATTTCTGCCCCCCTCTCAACATATACTACTTTTATCTTTTCTTATCAGCAACATCCACTACAATAGGACTTTAAAAACATTTAAAGGTTTTCATTACATTCATTAAAAACAGTCTGAATGAGGAATATTCTCTTCAGAAAGTTGTCTTTAGGTTCTACAGTTATAAAATACAATTGTACAACGTAAAGGAAGTCAAGTCTGAGGTGAACATATTTTAAAATGGAATATGAATCTGGAATTGCCAAGAGGTCGATTTTTCTTCTTAACTTTGTTAACATTAGGATGAAGTATATACAGATGAAGAATGTGATGGTAAATGAAAAGACATAAGCTAACTATATTGTTTTCAATTAGATCCTCTTCAGGCTTTACTCTAATACAAATAGTTTAATATATATAGAATTGAACCAATCATGTAAATTTGTCGGTTAATGTGATAAATGTCTTAAAAAAAAGACATATGGACAAATCGAGGAGAAACAAACATGGAATTACTGCCGTACAAAAGAATCCGTTGTTTATGAAATTGCAATTTAATAGGGATGTGGCCGGAGAAGTTTTATATCAGATACTCTCTAGAGCCATTAAGAGGACTTTCTATACCGCACAACTCTGTCTATCATTTTCCAGCCGACCAATTGTTGCTGCTCAGACAAAAGGTATTTAGTTTTGCCATTTCTATACCTATTTACAAGTTTAGCTGCTCCTGTGGAGAAAGCTAAATAGGGCGTACTACTAGACAGCTTAACAAACGTGTTGCTGAGCATCTACCTTCATGGTTGGGAAACGGACAGATAAAATCTATCAGAAGCTCGGTTTTATCTCACCTCGTTGATAGTGGTCACTCGGTAAATAAGAACAATGCTTTCACGATTATTCTCCGCATACCATCTCATCTTTCGAAAGGTATTCGAATTCATCTTTTACACATAGCAGAAGTTGTAGGAATTTGAGCTAATAATCCTGGCCCGTGTATCCAGAAGAAATTCGTGCATCCTTTATCTCTCCCTTGGCCAGGGAATACTTAGTTAGTAACTTCATCATTTAGTTTCTTTTCCTACCCCTTTCTTATTCTTCAGCTCCTTCATATACTTACTGTATTTGTTTAGACTGTTTATCCACTTACCTCGTCCTTCAGTACTACAGAACTTTTATTTTCCTAAGCTTTTGACCCATTTTGATTATCGGAGTGTCTACATTTTCATGCTGCTTTTTTGGTTCTTATTA